GAGAGAGAGAGAGAGAAGTAGAGGCAGTGGAAAGGCAGCAGAAAGAGCCAGGAGTTTTTTTAATTTTATTTTTATTTAGTAGAGGTTTTACGGCACTCGCAACTGCATAAAGTCATATGACCCAGGAGCACCAAGGGGTGGATGTTAACAGAAAGTCTTTACAGGGAATCGGGCTTACTCTGCTCACCTCTCTAGCTTCAACAGCACAAAGTCTGCGTCGACTATTAAAGCACCCCGGAAATAGCGGGTCACAACAGTGTGACAAACATACAAAAGAGGTAGAGGGAAATGACAATAGTAAGGATTAGGAAAGAAAAAGCAGCAGTTCCCTGTTGTAGATCAGGCACACTTATGAGCGTGACATTGATGAATCAGCCCATTTACAATTCTACTGTGCATGAATGAGAAATGAGTCAGGAGTCCAGAGGAGTTGGCAAAGGGATAGGGTAGAAAATTGAGACGAAAGCAGACGACAGGACATGATCAGAGAGTAGGAAAGGAGGTGAACAGAGAAAATATAAACAAAACAATCACACTTCATTGGAGGGTTCAAAATTGGCAAATGTCATTTATTATGAACGACATACAAATCATTGTGCATAGAAACGCCAAACTACAAAACTGGATCTCTCCATGCTTCATACGAGGGGGGTTCAACAAGTCTTTGGTCTAAATAAAAATATGAAGGAATAAAGATAAAGCTTTGTAACTTGGCACATACTTTCATTTCTCCACTTAGACACCATGCAGAGTAACACATTTCTGCCACCTCTCTTTGACCCTCAAAAGTCCTTGAGAAAAAAATGACCCAGAGTGGACCATCACCGTCATGAATCTAGATTTGATTTTTTTTACCCAGTATGTCACAGTATTATAACAAGGACATTTGTCACCAAAAACTGTGACCATTTCCTGAAAAATGTCTGAAGGGGATTTGCCTTGCAAGTGCAAAAAACTTGATAACAGAGCTATATTCAACAGGCTCCATGCGACAGCTTCAGCAAAGAAAAACAAAAGTTTTTGTGCATGATTTCATTGAAAACACTGACTAGTGCCTTATTATTGTCAACTTTCCCCAAAAATTTGGATCGTGTGTTCTAAAGAAATTGTGTAAAGTAGGTACCACAAGTGAAAATTTTTTTAGAACAATATTGACGTTTAGACCCCAGGGGTTCAAATCTACTCTATGAAACAAGAACATTAAAAAAAGAATTATCAAAATCCAT